TCACTCAAGAACTTGACATCCTCCACCTCCTCCAGGCCAGGAGCTCCTCCAGCCTGCTCCTCCTCCATGTCAGACATCAGCCTCAAAGGTGGGAAGGGGAACCATTTGATGATATTGGATATAGGCTCTGCGAACCTGTAATGATGCGCGTTCACACACACGAAACAGCAGGGCCCTGCGAGTTTAGATGCATATTTTTCCCAACGCCTGTCACACAGCGCGATTGGAGCCTCGCGGAAGTGCACGAAACACTGCGCCTGTCACCTATTTCACACGTTGGCAGACTATCGCGCGCGTTGGCACCTATTTCACACGAAACACTGCGCCTGAAACTGAAGCGTATAACCTGCGAGGACAGGTGGCTAAAGCACGTGGTGTGGTGAGGTTGGTCCACACGTCTTTGCAGAGAGGCCGCGCTGCGGTCCAAAGCAAAGAATGGTGAGTAGGTGCGCAGCAGGCAGGATCAGGCAGGAGAAACGGCGGTCTGCTTACGCTCGGCAGGCGCAAGCGGACCAGGGTCGTGGAGCAGCGGATTGTGCTGCTTTTGGATGCTTGTGGCAAGATTTCCGAACCCCAATCTGCTGCCGCGACGGGCGGTCTGCTTACGCTCGGCAGGCGTAGGCGGACTGCCACTTTTGACTCTGCTATAGCTGACCCACCTTTGTCCGGGCGTCGGGCGTAAGCGGACCGCCACTTTTGACTCTGCTATAGCTGACCCACCTTTGTCCGGGCAGAGCAACTACTCAGTGGGTCAGCTGTAGAAGAATCAAAAGTGGTGGTCCGCTTACGCCTGCTGAGCGTAAGCAGACCGCCCGTCGCGGCAGCAGATTGGGGTTCGGAAATCCTGCCAAAAGCATCCAAAAGCAGCATAATCCGCTGCTCCACGACCCTGGTCCGCTTGCGCCTGCCGAGCGTAAGCAGACCGCCCGTTTCTCCTGCCTGATCCTGCCTGCTGCACACCTACTCGCAGCATCTGGCCGCGGCATCCTGCAGCGGCACGGCGCCAGCACAGAGGCAGGCAGCAAAGCCCACACAGGCACCTCTTCCTTGAATTAAATAGCTCGAAAGCTGTGGCTATCTGAGTTTTTTTCCGGCAGCCGCCGAATCCTTTATCGGTGGCTGATTCTGCCAGCCGCCGGATACATTTGCGCCTCCGCCAGATATTTTTTAGGATTTTTTAGGCTGGCTAGCTGGTTCCGCCGGGTCCTTTTTAGGTGGCTGGATGGCTGGTTCCGCCGGATACTTTTTCGGCTGGCTGGCTCGACTCATTCCGCCAGGTACTTTGATAGCTGGCTGGCTGGCTGATTCCGCTGGATACTTTTTCGGATTTTTTAGGCTGGCTGATGCTGGCTGGCTGGTTCCGCCGGATACTTGTTGGGACTTTTTAGGCTGGCTGGTTCTGCCGGATACTTTTTAGGTGGCTGGCTGGCTGGTTCTGCCGGATACAGGTGGCTGGCTGGCTGATTCCACCGGATACTTTTAGCTGGCTGGCTGGCTGATTCCGCCAAGCACCCGGAATGCAGGGTCAATAGAATACCGAGCATGCCACAAGCGCTTTGCTATAGCGCCTAGCTGCTGTTTGGCGGGGTTCTGCGGGCCGCTTCATAATTTCCGTGGACAACCTACTAAGAAATGATGCCATTTTGTTCAGATTGGTCTGCACCGACTTTGCTAACCTTTGGCTACCAAACATGTGGTCACTGCTTTGCTTGCAGCGCCAGCGCAGGAAAAGCGCAAAGCAACAAGTGCCCTGAAGTGGACACGCCGGCCTTCAGCCAGGCGCCGTGGACGGCAGCAGCGATCTTTCCGAACCGAGCCGAAAAATATTTTGGAAGCATCACAAAGCGTCTGGCAACAGCATGCAACAGCTCCGAGAACCTCCGAGACAACGATGGAAAACCCCCCACTGCTGACTTCTGCGATCAGCGAGCGACATGCTCAAACTCTGCACCCGCAGCCGTCTCAAATTCACACCACTGCACCATGACATCCTACCATTCGCATTTGTCCCAACAGGACTGCAGCTGATCTCCTGCAACCGGTTGATTGGCCTGGGAAATTGCATCTCTCGCTCCATATTGCTCCAGTTGCTCAGCCGAGCGAAGTCGACGAAACCTCGGTAGACATGCGTGAGCCAAGGATCACCGAGAGATGCGTTGGTCTGATCATGCTATGCCATGCTGAGCCGGACATCCAAAATGAAACGTGCTAGTTTGTCATCACTGATCAAAGCCTATAATATAAGCAGCAGGCACGTTCATCAAAGCACCACAGAAACCCGCCGGCGGGGCAGCGCCCCGGACTAGTGGCTATGTAGTTTTCATCCGTCAGCCAGCACCACATATCACTACATAAAGGACTTATTCTGCAGGACCCGGGCCATTGTTTTGTCCCCGCCAATATACATAGTTACAACAAATCTATTTTCGACCTACGTCCAGCTATTTCTAGCTAATTTCTACCTATTCCGAGCAAATTTCTGCTTATTCTAGCTAATTTCTACTTATTTCTGGCTATATGTAACTTATGTTAAAAGTGCCATAAGTTCACTTGATGTACCTCAGCTAGCAAAAGCAAAGAGCTTCAGCCAGCTCCGGCAACGTCGTCGCCTCGAAATCCTGCAGATTTGGGCCCAGCACGTGAGGCGCAGGCATTGCACCTCAATGCGCCAGTAATTAGAATGCGAACTGTCCGTGAGTTTTGGCTGAAGCTGGGAGATGCTTGGACTGGGCTACATGAGATCAAGGAACTGTAAGATGTATTCTGATGTGTGCTTTGAGGTCAAATGCACGATGGTTACATCGACAGCAAAGAGCCCCGTGCGTCTCGTCTTAACGCCATCACAAACCGTCCGCATCCAACATGGAGACTCAAGCGCTCTCACCTGAGGTCTTCATGGTGTTCCACCTGCTCCAACCCAATGGGTGGTCTCGACGTCGTCTCATGTGCGCATGTGAATTTCATCAGCCGGAACAAATGGCCTCTATCGAGGTCTGATCCTCTACTTTCTTCGAGCTGGACCCACTTCCGAAGTGGCCAATATGTAACCTGAGAGTCTCTACAAGTTCACCTCTGCATCTAATTCGGAAGGGAGAATAACATCTAATAATTCGTCCATTGCGCATGATTGTGCCATAAAACACATCATAGCAAAAACACGCAAAACAACGATCAACCATTTCACTGCCTGTGGACTTGGCCCACCCAACCTGTCTCGGCTCAGTCTCAGCTCAAGGTCGGTCTTGGGGGAATCAACAACAAAATGTTCTCTTCTCCCCAGGTAGTGGTGCTTCGGGACATGAAGTGGTTGGATGAAGGGGACATTGATTTTCTTCTGGCCCTGGGGGAAAGCAATGGCAGCTGCTGCTGATTTGCTATGAAAATCAGTCGCCTTGTCTGTTTTGGCTGCATTTGGCTGCCAAACCAAATCGCAATGGAAAATCAGTAGCGACACAAGCTATGCAAGCTGGGATTGGGAGCAAGTCAAACATCTGGTCAGGCTAGCTCCGGTCTCGGGCTCCAGTGTTCAGCCATAGCCCCGCAAAAAAATATCGGAAAAACATGACGCTGGACACAAAGAATCCAAGACAACCCACGTCTCGTAGCGCCACGGACGGCTCCGGTTCCAAATGCCACATCACATGCCAGATGCGTTCCGCCTGAGTCAAAATTTCCACGCTTTTCTCCCACTAGGCACCCTTTTCGGTGAAGGTGGGCCAGAACAGATCGATCTACAAGCGATTCCACTGAGCGGATTTCTGACCAAGGCGATGTGAGAGAAGACCACCGGAACCACAGTTCAGGGTGACTTGTTCTGGTTGGATTCGAAACCAAACACTCCGGAAAATCGACTGTCCCGGCATGTCCCGGCGGTGGGACAGATGTCCCAGCTTGTCCCGGAATGTCCCGGCGGTGGGGTGGATGTCCGGCATGTCCCGGCATCCCGGCGGTGGCCCAGCATGTCCCGGCGTTGGGTCAGGTTGGGGTGGGGTGGGGCTCATGGCGATCACTTCAACTAGGATTCAAGCGGCTTCAAATCTCATATCCCAATGTTGAAATAAGTGGTATGGGTTGGGATGGGATGGGGCTGGGGTGGGGTGGGGCTAATGACGTTCACTTCGACTAGCATTCATGTATCTTTATGTATCTAATCTCCCAATGTGGAAGTAAGTGGGATGGGATGGGGGTGACTGGGTGAGCGCCAGCAAAAGTCCAAACACGTGTGCAGGGCCACAAGAGCGCACTCAAAGGCAGATTCTGCAAGTTGGCGCCGTCAAAATACACTTTGAAGATCTTTGAAGAAGTTGAGTCAAAGCACCGTAAATACCAGCGAATTGGCCTGACTCACATTGACTCACACACCTCTGAGCACCCTGGATCAACACCCGGGCTTTGCCACAAGAACCCCAAATAACGCAAAGTATGGCACACTGGGTCGGCCGTCCAGGTCGTTGAGTGCCAAACGGTCCAAATCCTCAGGCCCAATTTGTCGTCCTGTGGAACGACAGAACTGAACCCCAGAATTTACCGCACAAATTACACCTGGGCCCTCACTGGACCAGAGATCCAAAAGATCCAAAAGAGTGGGGGCAAAAACATGTGGGAGCAGGGAGGGATCCGCTTTGAGTGAGGGGCATAGCAAAGATTAGCAAAGTACTCAGTTGTAGATGGCTTGTGACCAAATGAGCGAAAATGAGGTTGGTTCCGGCATAATATAGGGAACCAACGTCACCTGTCATACCGGAGGGGGATCTTACATGGATTGTTTGGGCTACATATATCATGAATCATATTTAGAACCTAGAAGTTCCAAACTTCATTATAATCTTACTTGAGTGGAGAGTGATTCACCCCTCCATCCTCGCCTCGCCCCTTTGCAGTTCAACTTGGACCCACTGAGTTTGGAAAACAGGCGACGCCTGACATGTGCTTCGTTCGACTGTCCATTTCTCAGGGGTCGCACGGTCGCCGCATCGCATGATGTCGCATGTGGCATGCAGGAGCTTATCGATGAATTAGATCCCGCCTCTGGTCTGAAGAAATGTTCTGGGGGCCAACCCTCAGACGGCACGATTACCAGGGAAGAGCAAGTAACCAGGGAAGAGCATGGAATTTGAGCACGGGTATGGGTGAAGCAAACACGTTAAAGTTTGTGAGTAAACATATCCCACCATGAGTGAGTTGGAGAAGGTAAAACGGAATGTGTGTTGAGCGGTTGGGGTTGGTGCCATCATCTTCAGCATATATATATATATATATGTATGCATATATATAGCGCATATAGAGCAATTTACCTTTGGAAGGGGCTCTTTGGTTCAAGACTGTATGGTTCATGGCATGGGTGTATATGGTCCTTGGTCTAGCTTGGCTTGTTCCTGACCTGCACAGTGCGTGGAAACCTTCAGGTAGAGGATACCTGGATCCTGGACACTAAATGCATCTAATACGGATTGTGGGGAGACAGTGTCCAGTTCAACCACCATGGCAGGAACCTACAGCTAGAGGCAAAAAGAACCATCCATGATTGCTGCTCATACTTGAATGGTAGGACCTCAAGCTCCTTTTTTGGGAGGGAAGTTCTTCCAACGGCGCCGTTGGACCTCCTGCGCTACACCGTGATTTTGGGAGCTCAAAGGGTTGGACCCAGCTCACAAGGTTGGACCCTGGTAAAGGTACACACCAAATACCAAATACAAAACAAGGCCGGAGGTTGGTCGTGCTGATTTTGGCTGTTCTATCTATTGTTTCAGGCATTTTCCAAGCAGAGTCCTTGAACTAGTAACTAGACCCACCAGACCGAACTGCTCCAAGAAAACACACAGTCACATTCCTAAAGGTCTTTAACATACATTCCCGTAGGTTAACCCCCTTTAGGAATAATTTCCAACGTTGTGCTTTCTTAAGAGCTAATCAACAATGTGGCTTGCACACAGGAGGCGACAGAAAGAGAGATAGAGAGAGAGAGAGAGAGAGCGCGCGAGCAAGCGAGAAGAGAGAGGGACAGGGAAAGATACGAACTGATCGCCGAGGTGTGTGTGTGTGTGTTTTCGGCAGTTTTCGGGCTTAGCCAAGGTTGAGCTGAGTTAGGCGCCGACTACTTTGGCTGTGCTAGGAGCTGACAGTCTTCTCACACATGTATTCCACCCCATTTGGTATCAGATATCATGGCGCTCAGAGGTTGGAACCCAGTGTCAAAACGGGTAGCCAAGCTTTGCCATCCCATCCTACCGTAACCATGGAATGGAGATAACGTATTTCATGCTATGGCCTCTATGTTTGTTAGGGGCTACTGTACTGGGAGGGAGCTATGTGAATGTTCATGATATAGAGACCATACCTTGACATAAGCGATAACAAACAAAGTTTATCATTGTTTGCCCCTCATCCTCTGAGTATCCCCATCCTGCCCCATCCGGTCAGCTTTTTTCCGGTGGCACAGGTGTCGGCCAATCGATATCGAGATGCACTCTCAGAAGACGAAGCGGGAGAAGTGGAAGTGACCATATGGCATGCTGGACTATAGGCCCACAAACTCATGCTTTGGAAGCAGCTTCTGCATCATCGACACCTCTCCGTGCGCAGCAGACGCTCGGACCACGGATCTCGCACTGGCAGCCCACCTTCGACAGCTCGGTCGCTGAATGAAATCGAGGAACTGAATGGCGCTGGCTACGAGCACTGGACCAAGATGGATCAAGCCTGGGCACTGCAAGATGCAGACCCAAAAACCACTGGGTTGTAGAGGAACATGGTCTGTGGGTTTTTTGAGGGGGCCATCGGCCTACCCAGGAATCTCCATGCTACTGGCGGAACAGGGTTGGCGGCCATCACATCCCGAAAACAATATGAAAACATTGGTCATTTTCCATGTGTTCTTCCGTGTTTTTGTTGGGGTGTTGACTGGCCACCCTCTCAAATACCACTTGCACTTGCAAGATCTCGCAAAAATGCGAGTTGCAGCTTTTTGGCGCGACCGTGAAGCGATCGCATGGATTTGGCAGAAGGACTTCCCCAGAATGCTCGCGGCGAAGAAACAGTTCCTCCCAAGTTTATCCCCAAGCATTCCGGTTCCAAGACATGAAGTTGGTAGTTGGCCCGTATTGGCTCTTTATATTATGATTTTATATGGAGTTTGGAGTCACTCTTTCGAACGAAGGCGCCCGGGTCCAGCGAGTCCGATTGTTGTTTCGATGTGAAGACAGCGTTTGCTTGGATTGGCTGGGCCGTGGGTCAACCAGATTCTACATGGTTTTAGAGAGAGGCCCTTTACTATAATCATATCTATATAACCATCATGCACTCCCTATGGATCCACATACCGAACCTGAGAAGGTGATTGAAGACTATTTATGTAGGCTTGAAGCCCCAATTACCTTCTGAGAAGGTATGTGGATCCATAGGGTAACCATCATCCACTCTATCCCAGGGAATGGGATCCTCCAAAGGTATCTCGTTTGGATCGAAGCTGGGGAAGCGACCGGGGATGGGAGAGGCACCGAGCACCGAACAGATTGAGGCTGAGTCAGTCCACAGCAACGGCTTAGCGTGGGTTTGGAAGGCTTTTCGTTCACAGGGGGTGTCAGAAAAAAGCTATCCCAGACGTTGCATGAAATGTGGATTGAGAGAGCTTAGATGGAGCTTAGATGGACCCCATCTATGCATATCTATACATGATTCATTTTGAAAGTCATTTTGCGGTTTGTGCCATCTACTCTGAAACCACTGTAGGTAACAGCCATCAAGTCGTCCCTCCGATCGAGGTTGGAGTTGATGCTGGAGTTTGCGCCCCTGGGCGATCTCAGCAGAAGGACTGAACGGGCTTCGGCGATGGCGCCAGGGAACTGGCCATGTTACACTGGTTCTGTGATGTTTGATGTGTTTGTGCTTTTATTTGGAGGGCCGCGGGGTGTGCCACATCAACAGTCAGAGGTTCATCCTGCCATAGCAATTGCAATGCCAGAGGCGGCCGCATAAGGAGTGGATAGCATAGACAAGACGTGTCAAACTTAACGTGCCAAGACCACAGTCGGTTCGCTTGCAAGGTTGTGCTGAATGAAGATGAGGAAGTTCATGTTGCAATGACTGGGCGAACTGGAGGTGTAAACTTGCGAAATGCCTCTCAAAAGAGTCAGTCGGTGACAGGCTTTGGTGCGAAAGATGTTTTTTCTCGGAGGACATGGCATGCTCAAGAGAAATATTCCATGATATTCCGTGCTTGAACTGACTTGCTTCTCAAAGATTTTGCTTGTACCATTATGTTCATTTCATGCCAGTTTGGTGCTGTAGTAGGGCATGATCAAAGTACGTCTCCATGGCCTTTCAATGGCCCTAAGGCCCCTCCTCCCTTGTAGAAGATTTAGTCATTCCAGCGGCGAGCGATGATTCGATGATGATCTCAGATGGAGTCATGGCAAAAGGCGGACATGGGAGTTGTCCAGCACTTGCTGGCCTCCGAATTGGCTGCGTATGGGTCACCAAGAGGCCCGAACGACATCAAGAGGCCCGAAGATAGGATTCATTCTCCTTCCCACTGGCAAAGCTTGGCAAATCATCATGTTTGGCAGCATATCTGATCGGGGTGCATCATCCAATCACGATTTTCTATGATTTTCTTCACAGTATGGGTCACATCATGAGAGGAGAAAGAGTTAGATATGAATTGGAGCAACTAGATGAACCTACCCAGCCAGTGGATAACTATAATTGTTTGGGCATATGGTTTTCCCCATCAAAAACGAACAGGCTTAATTCATTTGCTCTTGATGGTGTGTATCGCGCATCGGTTCGAACCGGCCGAGCGGGAGCGGTTTTCAGGATCCGGCAGCAGAAAGCCCCTTGGCAGGGAAAAAACGAGGCCATCTTTTTCACCCCTATGACTAGCCCAGCTGGAACTGTTTGGAAGCCTGAGCACCTATATGACTGGACCCTCCTGGCACCCACCCCAGTCCCACCTTCGAAACGAAGGTGCGACTGGAGCCCTAGGGTCAAGCCCGTTTTAATTCGACCGGAAAGATCACCGCCTCATGCGTTTGGAAGAACCAGTCTTGAGACCAGTCGTGACCGGACAACACGTTTTCTTCTTGGACATCCAATGGATTTCTGGTTTGGGCCACAATTGGAAAACCATATCATGTCGGGCCATAGCACTAATGAATACAAATGATCGATGAGGGTGGTCGTGAACCAAGTCATTTTGGTGCCTCCACTGGTCATGTCTCCCGGTGCTTGTGACGCATTTGTTCGAAGCTTCACAGATGTCGAACACACATGGCCCGAGTTCCTAAAGTTCCGTGAGCGAAGAAACTATATAACCACTAGTTCCCCAACAAATTGCTTATTGGCTGCACATCCAGAAGCGTTGTCCTCAAACAAACACAGTGTGCATGTCGTGTTTTTGCTCTTACGATGGGTTACTGGATATGATTCCCAAAGACGTGCTCCTGAAACCTGCCATTGGCATAAGAATAGCCAAAAGCTAGTTTCTTCCAAGTGACTTTTTTGGAGTCCCTCAGTGACCTTAGTAGTGACATGTGACCTTTTACAGGCCTTTTCGCGACCTCAAATGGGGGCATCAAAAGGTCAGTTTGAAGAACCTGAAACACGTTTTGCTCCAGTTTGAGTGCCAGGACCTACCTGGACTGCCGATCAAAAAATGACCGTCGATGCGTCAATCCCGTTACAAATGTGTTAATTTCATCAAAGGGTGGATGTTCAATGAACACCCATTACAATGGCAATGTAATCTTCTCAGAGCGACCGCATCCCTACAATCTTAAATGATGACATTCCCCTATCGAAGGACATTTGGTAGAGAATTCTCGACCAACATACCCCCTTCCAACAAAAAATCTAAAATACTCCAGAAAAGGAATCAGCTGCGAGTGCATGGGTTGTGAAACCAAAAAGAGTCCATTTGTTTTGAGCTTCAACTTGTTTACACAGCTACCTTTTCCAACAACTCAGGATTCCAAAAAGGTAGATTTCAACACATGGAACCCTAAACCCTAAACCCTTCCAAGTTCGAAACGGGAGGCCCCCACTACAGATCCAGTACCTTTTTGAATCCCCATATTTCGAGCTCCGCCAGCAGTCACATGTCGCCGGTCCCGAACGGAGGAAGTTGGGGTGCCGTCACATCCACAGGTCCTGGATGGGATGAACCACCCCGAGCCCTGTGACTCCTGGCAAAAGAATCTCTTTTCAGGTCTGTTTGACCTTTGACCCGCCAAACCCTTCACTTCTCCCAAGTCGATGGAGAGCCGGCTGAGCGCCCGAAGCCGTGAGCTCTCGTGGCGCGACCGAGGCATGGTGCCAAGAGAATCTGGTCGAGGCAGGGCGGCGGTTCGGTTGGACCTGGGGGTGGACAACAAATATGGAACGAACGAAGAGAGAAACGCATCCGAAGGTGCCGAAGACGAACGGTCAAGTGTTCAAGTTCATGAAAATCACCGCGCAGAAGGTGAATTGCACGCGAACATGTCAACAAGCATGTGAGCTGTGCAATGTGTAGAAACAGGCTGTGAGACTACCTTTGACATCCTTTGACTGCATTTGACATTCGTCCGGTTCCAAGGCTTATCTAAGCATCCGAAAGCATGGAATGACCATAGTAGGCTGGGCCAAGGCTGGGCCAAGACTTGAGTGAAGGCTGCAAAGGAATGGATTCTTTCGCCATTCATCCATACTGTAGACTTTTTGATTGCTAACCCCACCCCATTTGGATGCACGAACTCGCGAAACGTCACGCGTCCACGCCCTCCCTTGCCGGATACCGGCGGGTTTGGGTGGATAGTGTGAACCGGATTGAACAAATCTTCATATATGGGCTTCGCACATACGGATGTCAGCGACGGTCCGTGACAACACTGTCCCTTGTTCTTCAGAATGGGTACACGTTGCCAGATCGATACGGAGAACTATATATATACATATATCCACATGAAAGGCAAAAACCAAATGAACCATGCGAGACTGAACGGCATCGTAGCATTGGCTGCGACGTATCCAAGTTCAACATATCATCTAACCGAGTTATATAAGCCAGGGAATATTGCAACCTTAGAGCTCCGGGAAAAAACAAAAAAACAAAAACAATTTGGAACCCAGTTAGGCCAGAGAATCTTGCAACCTTACTGCCCCGAATCCTTTTTGGAGACCAGTTAGGCCAAAGAATCGTGCCACCCCACTGCTAGCAAAAAAAATCGGAGCCCAGTTAGGCCAGAGAATATTGCCACTGTACTGTGCGTTCTTTTCCTCTTTCTCTTCCTCTTCCTTATTATCTTTCTCTTCCTCTTTATCTTTCTCTTCCTTTTTCCCTTTCTTTGTTTGTGTCTCTAGAAGAGCTAGAGGAGGAGAAGAGCTAGAAACACACAATGCTGCTAATGCAACGCAACTTGGGCAGCATAGCTCGCACTATGGGGCGTCGAAAACGTTTTGAAGCCAATCAGCATCAAAACGCATTTTCAAACATACACCGAAAAGGCAAGCCCTTCAGTGGTCGGCGGCTGGGGGCACCAATCCTTTAACCTTCGGTTAACCGAAGGGCCTCTGCGAAACGGGTCGGTGCCCCGATTTAGGGGGCTATACGGGCTATAGGTCGGAGGCCACAATATGGAAACCGCGCTCTCTTCTCCCTGGTACACCGCGCGCGCCACCAAGAAGAGGAAACATGGACCCCGGCTTTGGCCGTTTTTGGTCGTTTAGTCTTAAGTGATAGTTTGGTCACCCGGTGGGGTCGAACGCAGAAGGGAGTCGAGCCCGGGCCAACGCATTGAGACTACAACCTTGACCTTCAATTGATACCAAAATCTTGGGTACAAGTTTTTTTGGTACGAGTTCACTAAAAGAGGACGATTTCCCAAAAAGTGCCCGAGCAAGATTTTGGATATCAATTGAAGGTCTTTGTTACCCTTCTCCCACCACCCACCTCGCAACCTGATGCACTATCTGCGCTGGACTTTCAGCACGGCCGGGGCACTCAGTCACTCATTGATCGAGAGATCCGGTCTCAAGCTAGAGCATAGCTATAGGTTTTAAGGCACAGTTTTGGGATTGGGACATGTGCAGAATTCCGAACTACCGTCGAATCTCTCTTTTCAAAATTCGCTTGTATGCCATCAGACATCGAAAGATGGTACGTGGGCCTGTGGTAAAAGGGTGTGTGGCCCGTGATACCCGGCATGTTCTGCCAATAAAATCTTCGTCTTGCCAGCATGCAAAGGCTAAAAAATTCAATAGCCACACAGCCCCAGCTTGGAGCTGGAGCTCCCACTCTTTCCTGAGCTGGAGAGCACCGCTGAACAAGGTCTGCACCAAAAGAAGCAGTAGCGGGGATAGCGTGCCAAACAAAAAGTTCACAACTCCAAACTCAAAATTAGATTCGGAAAGTGTTCTTGCATGTGAAGCTTGGGCTTCACCCGGTAGAGGCAGTACCCGCGCTCCGCGCACATGGACGCTAAGAAGCCGTAGCCTTCCTCAGCGACAATGCAAGAAAAAGGAATTAAAACGAGTGAAACGACTACGTTAAAAAGAGCAAAGTTCACACCGTGTGACAACTATGCCTGCAAGCAGCTGTCAGAGCCCAGCCATATGGGATCAACTTCTTGGCAACGTGAGCACTCAAAAACAGCCCATTCGCATAGAGGCCACGGAACCAAGCGCTGCATGCACAAGCTGTGTACTTCATACATGCCCAAAGATGTTCGTCATCTTCAACCTAACTTCGGTCCCGGACACAACTACAGCCAAAGCAGATTGTCTATCTCAATTGGTCGATATATTTTACTGGCAAGGAGCGGCGAAAGCTGGCTTCAAGCTGTCATCCTCCAGTACACAAGCCAACCACTTGCAAACGCAGATGCAATCGCTTCCAGCACCGCCAAGCACAGGATACAGTTGCAGCCTCAATTAAGCTGCGTGGCGCGATGTGGGCCGATGAGTCCAATTCAATGTCCACAGCACATGTCTGAATGCCGCCAGGATGCGACTGGATCTTGAACGTCTTCAAGCTAAACTCTGACAGCTTGCAAGTCTCCTTGTGCAAGTGCCTCCAGGTTTGGAAGTGCTCAAAGGCACAATCAAGCTGGCCACAAATTGATCTCCGAGGCCAAACACCAAGTTGGCAAAGAAGTATTATGCATGACGCTGCAAACTCCTTTCCAACGCCGATCGCCCACGTATGGGCCATGTCAATGCGGACTCGGAGAGCTGAGTCCATTCCCGGAATCATTCGAAGAGGCGCAGGAGCAACACCTTGCTTCCACGGTGGAACCACTTCACCATTCCACTGGTGAAGTTCAGAAGATGCACCAAACTTCCACCAAGCCTGCAGCTTAGCCAGTACATGCATTTAGCCCTGAACTCACTGGAAAGAACATGGTGTAAATCTTCCACATTGCAAACAAATTTGTAGCCAGAAGGCCACTGCTGTGCAATGATGGCAAATCCTGGTCTTTGACTTCCACCCTGTCGCCAAGCCAAGTCCCTTACGCAAGTAAACCCAGTCACCCTTCACGCCGATCACGGCAAAGAAAAACTTTGCTTCCCCAACCTGAGCCAGCGCAGAAGACAGCTGCAGCAGCCAACCCTAAAAATGACAAAAGCACCACTCTGGAGTTCTAGGCCTAGCAGCTGACACGCCCTCGTAAAAAAGGCTGTAGCAATCCTCAGCAATCTCGGCGTGAATTTGGTTCCACGTCGCTGGAGTCATAACTTTGGAGGATATGACGGTCGCCAGCCACCTTGTCCCAAAACTGTGCCTTAGTTGTCAGAAGAAATTGGCTTCGGGAATGCTGGAATGATGCACGCAAACAAACGGTTAAAAGTAAACGTGTTCACTGGGCTAGGCAAAGATGAGTCACCCCGAAGTGTTTGTGTAGGCCAGACCCCGCCCATGCACTACCACTTGGTAGCTCAGCACCAACGTTGGATGGAAGTTCTTCCCCCTGCCTTCATCACCATGAAGGCATATAGGAATTACGAATTTCCTTTCGGCTGGCAAAAACTCCTGGTAGACTGGATGGCTCGGGTCTGAGCTCTCATATTTGTCCCAAAAGGTGGTGAACACCGTCAGGGCCTCCAAGTCAGAAAGGTCATTGAGCCCTCCAAGCAAGTAGCGGGGCTCACTCTGCAAAAGGCACTTTGCCCAGGACGTTAGGGAGATCCATGGGTAATGAACCTGACTTGGTTTCAGCTTTGGCCACCCAGTTCTGAGAGTGAGTTGGCATGTGGAGATCGTCACGTTCATCCTTCGTTGAAACCGGTCAAGAACTGCGTGAAAGTTGCGAGACAAATTTTTGCCTCTTCCGGACGTTCGCCCACACCTTCCAATTTCCTCTAGCACTGGATCTATAGCTCCTCAGCTTGTTTACAAAGATTGTTCTTAAAGAAAACTCATACCCAAGTTTATTGGTATCAATGGAAGGTCCCGGATGATAAATGAAAATTGTTTCAGACCGATATACCAAGGGTCCCAATTTTCTCATCCGCCGGCTGGCCACGCGAGCTATGCGCACAGTTCTTCTGGCGCTCTCTGCCTTGGAAATCGCCGGGCCCCACACCACAGAACCGGCCATTCGCATCCAGGGTAGGTGCGCACACACACACTTGAGGGGGTCCAGGGGTCGGCCCCGTTTAGAAAAATAGGAACAGCGAGAGTAAGGAAGAAACAAAGGAAAGAGAGAGAGAGAGAGAGAGAGACAGAGAGAGAGAGCCGTGACACATGAATCTTAATTTATTGAAGGTCGCACCAAAGCAAGCCAGGCTAGCCAAGTAGAGATAGACTCCAAAGGATGAAGATCTGAATCTTGTTTCATTTCACATTTTTTGACTTCACTTCTCCAGCTTCTCCCCAAAACAGCGGGTCCAAAATGGAGCCCCGAGGCTCTTGCCGAGGTGCCCCTGTTTCGAAACTCACCAAGAGCTCATCCACCAAATCAGACCCTGATTCCGATTCACCTCGACCAGTTCAAGCCATGACACCCTGGACATAATGACTTTCGCATACATGAACGACTCTGCTCAGGCCACGCCTGAGCTGTTCGCGTCCATGTTCTGTGGACAGCAAGGCGCAGCACCTCCATGCATGCATCTCACACCGCAAGAAACAATACAATCAATTTTCTAGAAAATTGATTGTATTGTCTGGGCAGTGCAGGCTTCCGAAACACAATAAATAGCAGAAGAGAAGCACGGTTCAGCGAGTGTTTTTCCCAGCTATCTCATCGCGATTCCCCTCGCTTCTGAATCCCAATCCTTGTTTAGCGCAATACTAAGCGCTTCAAAATGAAGGGCACGGCCAAAAGCCAACTGGGAGCAGGGTCATGATACCTGAGAAACACGTGCTTTCCAAAGGTTGAAGTTGGCTGACAGCTGACACTAGACCCTTCTCACCCAGCCATTGAAACTAGTTTTTTGGGGCAGCCTTAGCCTTCGCTTTGGACGCTGGCTTCTTTGCCTTAGCTGCCTTAGCTTTACGCTTGGGCGCCGCCTTCTCTCCCCCTGCCCCCTTGCTCTCTGAAATGTTGCGGGCAGGCTTTGCAGGTGGCTTCACATTCCTGCGGCAGGCTTGTGAGAACGGCAATATGTTTTTTGCTTTTAAGGGGGGGTCCAGGATGTTCCAGGCTTAGGCCAATCATTTGGAATCTCTAAATCTTCCATCCCAGCCTGGCCCTGACGAGAGTGTTGTTCAGAGCCACGTCCTTCTTCGTGATTTCAGCGAAAATAGCCTTGATGTCTTCTTGTTTCTCTTCAAGGGACCCAGTGAGAGCTTGGCCTTGAAGATCAGACAAAGCATCAAACTTAGCCGACAAGTCGGTGACCTGCAATCCTATCTTGTCCGCCATCCTTGGATTGGAGCGGCCACTGACAGTAGAATTGCTGTGAACTACAGGTAAACTCTTGTTCTACAAGGCCAACTTGCAACTAGAGGGTCTCGGTCGCTTTATCGAACTTGCGGCCAGCCAACTTCTCCTAAACTGTCAGGGTCTGGGAGCACAAGTGAAGGTGGTGTTCACCAGTTGTGGGATCGAATTCATTTTAATATCTGTCCTGCTCCTTTGAGGCGTGCTCCATTTTCTTGGCCAAGCACTCCAAAAAGGCCGGAACAATCGAGATCGGTGACTGGTTCTGCTGCACCCTGGGAAATGAAAGCCTTGGAAAAAGATTCTCATCATGACTTGAAGCCGTGCGCCGTATACTATAGCTATAGGAAGCGGATATGATCTATATTATATGCTAGTGATAGGCCTCTTGATGTCCAAGACAGTTGTGATTTCTCAACCTTTGTTGGTTGCCACACAGTCACCAAGAAACTTGAAGGATGATCCCCCGTCTCCAAACACTTCCGAAGACGACGTCACCTTGGAGGCCTCATCCACATTCACTTCTTTGGTCAAGAAGCTCCCATTTGTGTCCTGGCCAAAGAGCGGATGGCGGTTGAAGCGAAGCCGGGGAGGAGGACGCACCAAGAGAGGTTGACCCATCAACCGCAACTAAATGAATGGAAACTCAGGCCTCGGTTGCAAAGGACCCACTCTGACTGAAGGCTTCACCCTCTTGCTCTTCGGTGCTGAAGAGACGCTCGATCACCAAAGACGCCTCCTCTTCCCCGTGTATGGGGTTGACTTGCCACAGCCCCTGTCGTTTCGCCCACTCGAACGCGCGGTCGCACATAGACCTGGGCCCGTACGCAAACCCAAATGAAATTAGTTGATTGAAAGAGTAGCTCTTACAGATCATGGTCACTAAGGAATTAAGGATGGGGCTTCGTCCAATGGCGGTCTGCCATCAACCATGCTTTGGTCACCCAAGCCGAGTTTGTTTGCTTGGTAGAGACCTTTTGCTGCCACCTCTTGACTTGAGTTTCCATGCCCTCAAAAGACCCCTGCTCCTTCAGCGAAAGCCGGAGCTTTTCGCCTGAGGCCGGAAACAGATGAGGAAATTCAATGTCACCCAAGGGATAATCTTGAGCACCAAAATAATAGGCTTCCATGTTGGAAGCGCCCTTTTGGAATGTCATCCCGAAGAAGTGGTTTTGTTAAGGTTAGTGAGTTTTAAGATGTTTTTGACCAGGCACGCCCCTCAGGGGTCTTCCACATGTCGAATGCCGCCTGTGAGCAAATCATCTTACCATCTTGTCGCAGCCGGAAGTAGCGGACCAGCCTAGAGGAATATTGTGCAGGGGCCACATCTTGTTTCTACCAGAACTAAAGCCCAGTCAGGTGTAGCAATGGACTTTTGAAAACAACCGAGCCTATGGTAGTACTTGTCAAACTTGGTCTTTGACGCAGGCTCCTCATCACCTGGTTCTGATTGGGGTTTTGGATCATCAACACCAGGCTCCTTCTTCACAACAACTTGCTGCGCAGCTTTCGCGTGTGAAAGCTGAGAAGTGGCAGGGGGATCTCTAGGCTTTCCCACTGCCCCTCCACCACTTCCTGGCACTACCGGCGTACCGCGAGCAGTCTGCATTGAGCCAGTCCTGATTATCTTGGCTGGTGGGGTTAGGAATGCTCCATCACCAAGGTTGCGGGTCGGAGCTGCAGACTTGATGGCTCCGTCAGACTCCGCGAAGGCAAATGGGATATCTGGCCAGGGGAAATATATCGGTTGAACCGGTTGACACATCTCAAACAAGACCACCAAGAAAGGCCAACAGACCCCCTAAATGATAAATTTGGGGGGCGCCCGTGCTAGTGCTAAAAACAGGTACCCCCAAAGAATGCCTTTTGGGGTTTGTTGGCTCGTGCTGGTAGAATTGCCAATCGTGCCTGGCTTTTGTGACGGTACATCAGCAAGTGGCCGAGGGGTTGGCTCAGCACCATGAAGTTGTTGGGTCAGTCGCTGGATATTGAGCTCAGTCGCCTTGGGGTGACCATGGAAAAATCCACACGCCCTGGAGGTGAACCCTGCAAACGTTATTTTATTTTGTGCAAAGCTTGAGTAAGGCAGAGATAGGCAAAGCCTCAGTTTCAACAGGTGACCCCAAACACCTAACAGTACTTCCAATGCAAGCAAAAACACTTGTAGTTTTTGCTTAGGGGCCTTTATGATGGCATCCAGGTCCAAGGTCTGGTCTTGTGGGCCGCGGCAGTTCATCCCTAATGCCTCAGCGCCTAACTCCAAACTAGAGCAACTCCCCTCACCGCGGATCATGCTTTGCCACAGGCTGGTACCGTACTCGGGCCACACGAAGAGCTATGGACCACAACACTGCTGTAAAACACACATGGAAGAATGAGCAAAAGTACTAAAAAAAAATATTTGCGCTCGTTTGCGGATATTTTCGCTCGTTTTGCGGGTATTTGCGCTCGATTTTGCGCATGAGAAACGCTCAAGGTTCTTCCATGTGTGGTGAATTTACTCAAGAACTCGGATTCTTCTGGCAAAACCCTTCATAACTCTGACATGTTCAATGAAGACAAATTCGGACAGCAACTTTTCCACCCTTCCTCACTGGCGCCTTGGATCATCCAGCCTAGGCACCGAATGAAGCGGATACCTAGAATCAGACCTATCCCAAAAAGGGTTTGGACAGGGAACTCCCCAGTTTGGATCAATGCCCACACTCCAAGAGGTAGCTGAGTAGAAACATCTTCCAGGCAAAAGCTCCAACACAAATATTGCCAACAACGTCAAAAGGCTCTTGGTTTGATCTCACTGATGAAGTCTTCCATAGTAGTGGCCCATGAATCAGGCACCGACAAGCCTTTGTAATTCCATATATAAAGGACCACCTCAACTAGCTTGGCATCACCCCAAGTGTCCCCAGTGGGATAAGCCTGGAAGACTTCTTTGTCAGAGCCCTCGAAATCAACCGCGTAATGTCGGCGCAGGTCGCGCCGGTTCTCCTCGGGGTTGGCCTTCTGATAGACGTCTACCAGGCGATGTCCAAAGCGGGCAGGATATTCCCTGGGCAGCAACGGAGTCAGAACTGTCTATATTTGGGGTGCACTTGAAGGGGACCTGTACAAGAAAAACATGGTTCTTCCTGTTCCGCTTGGGCGCTGCGACTGCTTGAGCATTGGTGTACCAACAAATCTCTTCTTCCCAGACTTGTCCACGTATTGCCCTTAGAGGGAAAGGATGGAGGGACATGGTTGAAGACTCTGCGATCTAAGAAGTGACCGCCTAATAGTGAACTAGTGACCCTCTTACGGACCCGGTTGATGGTAGCTGAGGCACTTGTAGTGTCTGATTTCTTTTGGTTCAGCCGCCTGCTCAAAGGGCCCAAATCCAGCATCTGGATGAAGCGGGAGTTGCTCATCACTGTGGTTCTTTTTGGCGTTTTTGAACCAAAGTGTGCCATCCAAAACGTCATGCTATAAACCTGGCCCAGTCAGAAAAGGGAAACACTCCTCACGTTAACAGCCCCTACTTGAAAAATGGTCCATACCACGAGCTGCAACCAAAAGACCCATGCCATCTTGTTGGTAAAGTGTGAGAATCGCTCATGCTGCCAGAGTAATGTCCCAGTCGGGTTTTCCACAACGTAACAACGTACATCCCAGAACAAGCGATGATGACCATCAGAAGGAGCACCAACCTGATAGAGCCCGGGAGTTCCGTGATATATGATACACAGTACATATACAACAAAATTATTGGATGCCAAAGAACCTACAAACAAGACGGTTTCCTTTCTCTACGAATTCGTATCCGGTGTAGCCCATCGGGTTGATAAAGCTTCTTCGGGAGGTGCCGCGTGAAGCGACCACCCAACTCGAGCACTGCGGAGCCAGCAGGACTACCCCATTGGGCACCACCTGCATGATGCACAGGACACAAAGCCTGAGCGTTGGTGGCTGGGGTTGGGTTGTCCTTTTGGGCTCGGTCTATCAATCTCACAGTGCAACCTAAACACGCAAACCCAGCTGGTGCAAGAAAGTCCATGCCTTTGGGGCAGTAGTCCAAATCAAAAGATGCACATGGGAATCCTCGGCTGTGCCTGATCTCACAGAAGGATGAATGTAACCAGTCAATCCGGGAGCAAGCATCATGCTTTTGAGACATGCTGCCAAGCACGGGTAGCGTTGCCCTTTCCACTGAATACCTCGAAGAAAACGAACGGTCCTCCAACCTTGAAGTCAGTCCATTGGAGGAGTAGGACCTAGGTGGAAATTCCAGCAAGATGCGCACAAGATATTGCAAGAGAGGTCAAGAGGACCAAAATTGTAAGGATCCTGAAAGTTGGTATTATAGGTATTGTTTTTAGTGTCCTCTTGACCTCTCTTGGTTGGGCATCACACTAGCTCCAAAAAACCTTCGGTGCAGTTGAGACACCAGACATACTAGGAGTTTTGGCGCCCCCATTCGCATAAGGTTAAATGGTATAGACCGATTGCGATGGGGCAATGGCATGGCTGGAGCTCTACAACCCCGGCCCCTAAGGTCATCTCTCACAGCCACAATCTCACAGTGTGAGAATCGCTCATGTTGGTAAAAGACCCATGACAAGCCGCTCTCACACATGAAGGCCACTCTCACATCAAGGGGGGAGAGGCACCTGCCAGCTTCGCCCGAACCATCCAGGCCATGTTCTTCAAGAAGATTGGCGCCTGGCGACGCGAAGCTTGGGGGCCCAACACGTAAACCACATGGCGCATCAGGGTGTAGGATCCACAGCTTTTGTTTCACTCTGTGAGAGATAGTGCTGGTTGGCAACTCCGATTGCGATGCATTGCATCGGCTATAGCTATAGGTTGCAAGCGAATCTGATCAGCTGCAACGAACCCCCAAAACCACGTGTTCTCACATGGTCATGTTAGCCTTTCCCATAAAGGCTGCACTTCTTGAAAAAGATCTTTCATTGCAGTAGGCTCTCACTCAGTGGCTCGGTAAGCCTTGGGTGTGGAGGGTCATGGTCAAGAAACTAACCGAGAGAGAAACAGGATACGCCCTCCAAGACACTTTTGGAGGGCGTATCATATCCTATAAGCCATGTTTTTTCCATTTGTTGGAATGTATTGTATGCACAGGCTAAATGTAACCAAGTTGCTTCTTGCGCTCGCTCACGGGCCGTCTCTTCCCCGAGGGAAATATTCTTCTTGTATGCTGCGTTGTAGGCGCAACACTTCCTGGAACGCTTGGCTTTCCTCTTGGCCTTCTCTTCATCCTCAACTGTCTCTTCAGCCTTGGAAGCCTTCGATCTCCTCCCCTCTTTGGTCTTCTCCTCTTCCTCAGGCTCCGGGGTGGGCTTTTCCGCATCCGACTTCCGCTTTGAAGGCTTCCTTTTCGCCTTTGCCGAGGTGGCCTCTCCTTCATCCTTTGATGAAAGCTTTCGAGCTTTGGCTGGCTCATCATCTTTGCCGTCGCTCGCTGCCTTCCTCCGCCTTTGCTGCTTGGGTTTGCTGGCCTTCTCTTCCTTTTCAGGTTCAGCCTTTTCCGCAGCACCACTTGATTTGGATGTCCGAGCCTTCGCCTTGGCCTTCGCCTTGGCCTTCGCGGCTGGGCGCTTCTTCACATCCTTCACCTCCTCCTCCTCTTCCTCCTCCTCTTCCTCCTCCTCTGGCTCTGAACCCTCACCACTTTCATCAGCATCTTTCTTCGAAGCTTTGGATTTGGCCTTACCCTTGGCCTTGGCCTTCCCCTTGGGTTGGCCTGAAGGTGCAACTGGTTTCCGGGCTTTGACTGCAGCCGGAAGGATGGGGAGGCCAGTCTTAACCTCCTCAGGTTCCTTAGGCTTCTCACCATCATGTGTCTGAGCCTTCTCAGGTTCCTTAGGCTTCTCACCATCATTTGTCT